GGGGAGCGGTAGTGTAGTGCTTAGCGTGCTGTCTGTGTGTCTGTGTGTGTGTGTGTCTGTCTGTGTCTGTCTGTGTGTGTCTGCGTGTGTCTGTGTGTGTGTCTGTGCGTGTGTGGTGTGTGAGGAGCGGTGGGTGTAGTGCTTAACGCTACGCTGCGCTACCAACCCGGCGAACCGAGTTCGATTCCCGCTCACGCCCACCACCGGTGACGATTATTTGAACCTCCCCTAGGTCGACTCAGCCTCAAACGAGTAACTGGTGTGGCGTATAACATCGGCACTTGGGAGACAAAGGCGGCCGGGCGTGGTGGATCCAAGTCCCGGGCGAAGCCGGGTCATGTGTATGTGTTTATGTGTATGTCTGTGTGTCTGTATGCATGTGTGTATGTATGTGTGTGTATGTGTTTGTGTGTATGTCTGTGTGTGTATGTATGTGGGTTTTTTTGTATGTGTTTATGTCTGTGTGTCTGTATGTGTGTATGTACGTGTGTGTATGTGTTTGTGTGTATGTATGTGTGTGTGTATGTATGTGTGTGTATGTGTTTCTGTGTATGTATGTGTGTGTATGTATGTGTGTTATGTGTGTCTCTGTGTGTCTGCATGTATGTCTGTGTGTATTGTGTATGTGTTTGTGTGTATGTATGTGTGTGTTTGTGTGTATGTGTATGTCTGTGTGTATGTATGTGTGTGTATGTGTGTGTATGTGTTTGTGTGTATGTGTGTGTATGTATGTGTTTGTATGTGTTTGTGTGTTTACGCTCGCATTACACAAATGTGTTGCAGGTCTAAGGCGTTCCTCGCGCAGCATTGCCGCTTTATTATTGCAGTCGTTTACTGCCGTGCGCACCCTGAAAGTCGTGTGTGTCTGCAGCAAGCGCGTGTATGTGTTCCTATGGACGCGCGCGCGTGTGTTGTGTAGGGGGAACGGTAGTGTAGTGCTTAGCGTGCTGTCTGTGTCTGTGTGTGTGTGTGTCTGTGTGTGTGTCTGTGTGTGTGCGTGTGTGGTGTGTGGGGAGCGGTAGTGTAGTGCTTAGCGTGCTGTCTGTGTGTCTGTGTGTGTGTGTGTCTGTCTGTGTCTGTCTGTGTGTGTCTGCGTGTGTCTGTGTGTGTGTCTGTGCGTGTGTGGTGTGTGAGGAGCGGTGGGTGTAGTGCTTAACGCTACGCTGCGCTACCAACCCGGCGAACCGAGTTCGATTCCCGCTCACGCCCACCACCGGTGACGATTATTTGAACCTCCCCTAGGTCGACTCAGCCTCAAACGAGTAACTGGTGTGGCGTATAACATCGGCACTTGGGAGACAAAGGCGGCCGGGCGTGGTGGATCCAAGTCCCGGGCGAAGCCGGGTCATGTGTATGTGTTTATGTGTATGTCTGTGTGTCTGTATGCATGTGTGTATGTATGTGTGTGTATGTGTTTGTGTGTATGTCTGTGTGTGTATGTATGTGGGTTTTTTTGTATGTGTTTATGTCTGTGTGTCTGTATGTGTGTATGTACGTGTGTGTATGTGTTTGTGTGTATGTATGTGTGTGTGTATGTATGTGTGTGTATGTATTTCTGTGTATGTATGTGTGTGTATGTATGTGTGTTATGTGTGTCTCTGTGTGTCTGCATGTATGTCTGTGTGTATTGTGTATGTGTTTGTGTGTATGTATGTGTGTGTTTGTGTGTATGTATGTGTGTGTTTGTGTGTATGTGTATGTCTGTGTGTATGTATGTGTGTGTATGTGTGTGTATGTGTTTGTGTGTATGTGTGTGTATGTATGTGTTTGTATGTGTTTGTGTGTTTACGCTCGCATTACACAAATGTGTTGCAGGTCTAAGGCGTTCCTCGCGCAGCATTGCCGCTTTATTATTGCAGTCGTTTACTGCCGTGCGCACCCTGAAAGTCGTGTGTGTCTGCAGCAAGCGCGTGTATGTGTTCCTATGGACGCGCGCGCGTGTGTTGTGTAGGGGGAACGGTAGTGTAGTGCTTAGCGTGCTGTCTGTGTATGTGTGTGTGTGTCTGTGTGTGTGTCTGTGTGTGTGCGTGTGTGGTGTGTGGGGAGCGATAGTGTAGTGCTTAGCGTGCTGTCTGTGTGTCTGTGTGTGTGTCTGTCTGTGTCTGTCTGCGTGTGTCTGCGTGTGTCTGCGTGTGTCTGTGTGTGTGTCTGTGTGTGTGTCTGTGCGTGTGTGGTGTGTGAGGAGCGGTGGGTGTAGTGCTTAACGCTACGCTGCGCTACCAACCCGGCGAACCGAGTTCGATTCCCGCTCACGGCCACCACCGGTGACGATTATTTGAACCTCCCCTAGGTCGACTCAGCCTCAAACGAGTAACTGGTGTTGCGTATTAACATCGGCACTGGGGAGACAAAGGCGGCCGGGCGTGGTGGATGCAAGTCCCGGGCGAAGCCGGGTCATGTGTATGTGTGTATGTGTTTATGTGTATGTCTGTGTGTCTGTATGCATGTGTGTATGTATGTGTGTGCATGTGTTTGTGTGTATGTATGTGTGTGTGTATGTATGTGGGATTTTTTGTATGTGTTTATGTGTATGTCTGCGTGCCTGTATGTATGTGTGTATGTACGTCTGTGGATGTGTTTGTGTGTATGTATGTGTGTGTCTATGTATGTGTGTATGTGTTTCTGTGTTTGTATGTGTGTGTATGTATGTGTGTTATGTGTCTGTCTGTGTGTCTGCATGTATGTGTGTGTGTATTGTGTATGTGTTTGTGTGTGTTTGTGTGTTTACGCTCGCATTACACAAATGTGTAATGCGGGTCTAAGGCGTTCCTTACACAGCATTGCCGCTTTATTATTTCAGTCGTTTACTGCCGTACGCACCCTGAAAGTCGTGTGTGTCTGCAGCAAGCGCGTGTATGTGTACCTATGGACGCGCGCGCGTGTGTTGTGTAGGGGGAACGGTAGTGTAGTGCTTAGCGTGCTGCCTGTGTCTGTGTGTGTGTCTGTGTGTGTGTGTCTGTGTGTGTGTCTGTGTGTGTGCGTGTGTGCTGTGTGGGGAGCGGTAGTGTAGTGGTTAGCGTGCTGTCTGTGTGTGTGTGTGTCTCTGTCTGTGTGTGTCTGCGTGTGTCTGTGTGTGTGTCTGTGTGTGTGTCTGTGCGTGTGTGGTGTGTGAGGAGCGGTGGGTGTAGTGCTTAACGCTACGCTGCGCTACCAACCCGGCGAACCCAGTTCGATTCCCGCTCACGGCCACCACCGGTGACGATTATTTGAACCTCCCCTAGGTCGACTCTGCCTCAAACGAGTAACTGCTGTAGCGTATTAACATCGCCACTGGGGAGACAAAGGCAGCCGGCCGTGGTAGATACAAGTCCCGGGCGAAGCCGGGTAGTACAGCTAGTATTACATACATACATATTACATACAGACATGTAACGTACTTACGAGCAAAGTATGATTCTAAGAGGACTACGGAGTGATTCTAATAATTCGAATGCGATTTCTCTCACTTCAATGTATGGTATTCTAATCGATAACACTAGTTTATAATGTTATTTTTTTGTGTTATAATGTCGAGCTCATAGGTTTTAATGTTCGAGTTCACAACATTAGATTTTACTATAAATGTAGTTTACAGTGGTATAGTTATAGCGTTACAATGTATAGCTATAAAAGTAATATTGTTAGAGTTTATAATGTTAGAGCTTACAGTGTGAGTTTTTGGCCGTGCCCTGTCCTCGTGGAACCCCACACGGATTTGGAAATAATTGCAATGACCATGAATGAGCTGAGATTTGAGCGACTAATGTTTACTTTGTTTCAACAAAATTGAGTGCAGGTTAGTGCCATCTGGGCTTAGCGAATACTACTCATGAATGAACTCATTCTCCTTTATGGAAGACATTGTAATCTTGCCTTTTCTTGACGAAATGTTATCTTCAATATCGTCCTCAAATATACGGCTAAAATACACAGCAGAGGGAAGGCTGCCTTGTTGGGGATTATAATCACGAACCTCCATTTATGTTGTTCAAAACTAATAATGCCGTACCGATGTTTTTGGTGTTATAAATGATGAAACTAGTTAATAGATTATAGTATTTTAATTATTTGTGTTATCGTTGATAGTGTTACAGTTCACACGTCATACTTGATGGTGAGGGACCGTAACGTTGAGGATAGATGTATAATGGAGACTTTCCCCTCCAGGGACACATGTTAGTGGGGAGACAGCCAAGATGCTGCCGGTTAAGGGCAGATTTGTGTGACGAAGACCCTCCACCTAATACTCGCTTAAAACACGTTTTTGCTATGAACATTGTAAAATAAAAAAACGGACAAACATTTGTTAGAATACGTTTTTATTAATCTGCAATCATTTTTATGTTAAAACTCCAACCGCATATGTATTAAGTCCTATGTTCAAACAGTTACAGTACAATGAAAACCATATCCGTTCCAGGAATACCAAAGCGTTAAAATATCATTCCCCATGATTTCCTTATTAGTTCACCACATTTGTTCACTGTTCGTCTATGTTGAAGTCAAGGCCAAATATCCAACGAACGCGTCATCAATGTACATCCTAAAGTCGATTATTACCAGCAAAAAAGAGCTTTATACTTGAAAAAGAACTCGTTTAAAATGTTGCGTAAAGATCTAACTACAGATGCATTCCAACTTTAGCTCAACAGGAAGACTTAAACACTATTATATTGTCTGGAATTTAACCATCTCACAACCACTGCTCATCACACCACTTCACAAAGTAATCCGATAACATCAAAAATCACCACCTGCACGTCAAGAAACTCTCAAACGAACTGTAAAACTAAAGGGTCAGAGTTAAACACAAAAGTACTCAAGACACCTTAATAGGTATAACCGCATGCAACATTATATTTTAATCATCCCGAGCTCTCGGTTTGATCCTCGAGCCACTCCATTACATCCAGCCATCTCTCGGGATCCAACTGCATGGGATCGAGGGTGGAAAATTCTTCAGGACTCAATGCAGCACCTTGAACTTCAGCTTTTGATTTCAGTTTCCAATCCTTGTGGACCTTCTGATGCGTGCTAAGATTTGACGACTGTGAAAATGCCTTCCCACACACAGGGCACAGGAATGGCTTCTCGCCCGTGTGTGTTCTCTGATGGTTTTGAAGAGTTGATGATTGTGCAAATGCCTTCCCACACACAGGGCACAGGAATGGCTTCTCGCCCGTGTGCGTTCTCTGATGAGTTTGAAGAGTTGACGATTGTGCAAATGTCTTCCCGCACACAGAGCACAGGAACGGCTTCTCGCCCGTGTGTGTTCTCTGGTGTCTCTGAAGATCTGATGGCCATGAAAAGGACTTCCCACACACAGAGCAATTGAATGGCTTCTTGCCTCCGTGTGCGTGGGGCTGTGGAGAGCGTCTCTGCTCCATGTGAGCGGAGTAACAGCAGCGGTGTTATCGAGTTAGAAGTACGCTATCGGTCGCAAGGATGTTTAGCGTTGAGTTTGGGATTTTGTTAACTGCTAAAACAAGAACGACACTCGCGTCTAACCGAGACGCAAAAAAATCCCGTAAATTTGACGACGAAAACGTTTAAGAGTTTATCCGCGAAAATAGACACTTACTTGGAGATTCACGGTATATCGATGTCTGAAACCCGTCTGAAGATGTCGCCACGAACTCTCCCGACCCAAAATCGCCTAAATGTCAACTCAGCAATTGTGCTCGCCAGGCTGCGTTGTCTCGCGGTTGAAGGGCGATCAGCAGAGCGACGAGTCGAGCGTCCAACCTCATCAAGTTACCTCTCGAAATGGCATTGAGCTCTGCTTCTGAGCCGCCTTATAACTCCCCCCCTAGGATCCAATCCTTTGTCTTTCAGGATATTTGCATTCGATTGTTAATTTTGGAAGGTACAATCCGCATGTCTATTAACATACCGAAGAGTAATGTGTCCATTGTGCTTCATGCATGTGTAGAGGTGTAATTGCGCATGGCTACGAATGTTGAGGTGTGATTATGCATGGCCACGGATGGCCAACAAACACAAGGGGCGGGGTTACGGCCGTACACAAGGGTGGCGCTAGCACCGACGTCCGCATGTGTATCCCCCACGGGCCCCCCCTCGGGGGCGAGTCCTATAAAAGGTGATGAGCTCGAGGGCTCGAGGTCGGGACTCAGCTTTAACCAGAGAAGACGGAAGACCAGCTAGTGTAGGCCCCAGAGCTCCCCTGGCTCGCTGTCCTTATAAGGGCCGACCAGGGCAAGCCGGTGGCGTGGCCCCGAGAGCCCAGACGAAGCTGGTCTGGTGACTCAGGGAGCCGGGATCCCAGCTTAACCAAGCTGGGACAGATAGCCTCCCCTAGTCCCGTAGTGGAGGAATTGGTATAGGTTAGAGGGGTTAGCTGTCGAGAATCCCTGTAGCCAAGTGACCTGTACAACTGTGTTGGTGTAATAAATAAGTGTGCCTCCGATCCTGTCGTCAAGCCTCCATATATACTTACTACATCTGGGGTCAGAAGTAAACGTCCAACGATGGACACACGAGGGACGACACGTACCAGGGAGTCGGAGATGGAAGACGCCGCGGCCGATTCTCCACCAGTGATGGCCGGGGTCGAATCGGAGCAGCCGGGGCCGAGTACGCCCGCGCCGCTACGACAGGAGGAGGGGGATGCGTCGGCCGAGGGACTCCGGCTGGCCCACTCCCGCCTGGCGGACCTGCTCTACGCCGCGGCCGCCGCGTTGGAGGAGATCACGCGGCTGGGGGCTGGAGGAGCAGCGCGGGTCGACGACGGCAGCCGGCGCGGGGCGACGTTTCCCGCCACCCCGACGCGGCTCGCGGTCAAATTTCCCGCCATCTCTACAGTACGAGCGGAGGGCGGGGCCGGCCCGCGTCACGTGTCTGCTGAGCGCCAAGCACAAGCCGTGACATCATCAACGCCGGCCGGCGCGTCAACATCAGAGCGACCGGCGATGCCATGTGCACGGCCCGCCCACACTGTATCATCGGCGGGGAGCGACGGAGAGCGTTCTGCGGCCACGGACGCCGCCTTACAACAGCGTCTGCCGCCTCTTAAAGAATTTGTCGGCGCTGACGGAGACTGGGGCGGCTTCAAGAGGCGGTTCATCGCTCATCAAGAGATGGCGAACTGGTCGGACGCCGAGGCTCTACGCGCGCTGCCAGCGATGCTGGACAACGACGCCCTGGCTACCCTCACCTCGGCGCCGAGGGAAAAGCGCGCCACTCTACACCTGGCGTTGCAGCTGCTGTCAGCCGTCTATGGGCCGCCTTCGGACTGCAGGCAGCTGTTCCACGATCGGAGTCGGGGCGCCAACGAGTCACCCCTGGCCTTCCGGACGGCTCTCCTGGCTCTGGCAAAGGCTGCTTTCCCAAGGATGGACGAGGAAGGAGTGGATGCCATGGTGGCTGAGAAGCTGCTGCTACTCGCTGACGAGCTGGACGTCAACGTCCTGGCTCAGGACGACGCGGAGATGTCGTCCCTGCTGGTCGCGCGCCACATCCACGGGGGCTTGCGGTCCCTGCGTCGGAAGGCGGCAAAGGGGGCGGCCGGCCATGCCATGGCGACCACCGCCCTCCCATCGGAGGAGGTCTGCGGGGTGGAGCGGCGAGGGGAATGGAGATCGGCGGCACCGCAGGCTCGGAATGGACCGAGCCGCCAGGAGCAGCCCAGGTCATCTGGGGCGCTCACACGCTGCTACAACTGTGGCCTGCAAGGCCACGTTGCGTCTGGATGCCGGGCTCCCCGTCAGCGCGGGGCGACACCTCGTCAGGACGCCACGCCGTCTCCTCCCAAGCTCCAGCAGAGAAATACGGCGAGTCGCGGCACCTCACACGTTTGGCCCACGCACACATCCGACACACACTCACGCGCTCAACTAAACAGGGCTCCAAATTCCCCGTCCGTCGCGCGCGATTGTTCGGTAATGCGGCGAGCGCTCCAACCGGGTCAGTGGTCGGAGCTCGCCCATCGTGTCGTTGCTGCGTCGGCGGGATCATCTGTCGTGGTCGGTCACATTGATGGGGTAGAGGTGCGGATTTTAATTGACACAGGGGCATCGGCGACCATTATATCTGATTTAATTTATAACATCCTTCCCGTTCAAAGTCGTCCCTTGCTCCCTGTTGACGTGCCGTGCTATGCCGCTAACGGAGGCTCTCTGGGCATTATTGGCCAAATCCGCGCCACTATCTGCATTGGGGACATTAAATTATCCGGCCCTGTTTTGGTTTCCTCCTCACTCGCGGTTCCGTGCCTGTTGGGGACGGATTTTCTGGCCAAAATGCCCATCCGTATCCTTATTGACCAAGGGTGCATTGAGCTCCCGTCGGGCCGACGCGTTACATTTCTGTCTTCCCCCACCACGGAGCGTCGGGCGTTTGCCACCGTGCAGGCGCTCGTCACAAAAACTGTACGCGTGCCTCCGGGGGCTCAGATGCTCGTCCCTCTTAGGTTGCGTCGGTCGTTTGATGCAGGGGTTGCGGATCGGGGGGTCTTGTTGGGTCCATCTCGGGCCGGGGTCAATGGACCCGATTTGCTCGCGGCTCAGACTATGGTGAGAGGGGATGGGGACCCCTTCATTGCAGTCCTTAATGTGGGATCGCGAACGGCCGTGGTTCCTCAAGGGACCGTGCTTGCACACGCAACGCCGGTGCCCTATGAGGAACCACTCGTGGGTCAGGTATCCACCGATCCTCCGTCGCGACCGCATTCGGACTCTGATGACGGATGGCTGGATGCGCTTTGCGCGGGTTCAGTGGACCTGTCTGACTCGCAGCGCGCGCAGCTGCGAGTTCTCCTGAGCGAATTTGCTGACGTTTTTAGTCAACACAAATTTGATATTGGTTGTACAAAATTGCTGCGACACCATATTGACACGGGTGACAGCGCGCCGATCCGCCAAAATCCCTTTCGGTTGAGTCCCGCCGAAAAGGATCATGTCAAATCGGCTGTTGATGACATGCTAGCCGCCGATATCATTTCCCCTTCCACCAGCCCGTGGGGCGCGCCGATCGTTTTGGTGAAAAAACACGACGGCTCACTGAGATTTTGTGTTGACTTTCGGCGTCTCAACAAAATCTCTGTGGCAGATGCGTACCCGCTTCCTCGGATGGATGAGTCGCTCGACGCCTTGGCCGGTGCGCGATTCTTTTCCACCCTTGATTTGCTATCTGGATTCTGGCAGCTTCCTCTGGATGACGAATCGAAACCTAAGACTGCTTTTCGTACACCGCAGGGCCTCTTCCAATTTAACCGTTTGCCGATGGGTTTACATTCTGTGCCGGCAACTTTTCAGCGGTTAATGGAATTGGTCTTGGCAGGTTTGCAATGGGATTCGTGTTTGATTTACTTAGACGATGTCATCGTCTTTAGCAAATCCTTCGAGGAACACCTCCAGAGGTTGCGTGCTGTTTTTCTCCAAATGCGGGCTGCCAATTTGAAATTTAAACCACAGAAGTGCCATTTACTCCGCGAATCGGTGCGATATTTGGGTCACATTGTTGGGCGCTCGGGGATATCCACTGATCCCGCCAAAACGGAATGCGTCAGCTCCTGGCCGACTCCCACCTCTGTGGGAGAGGTCAGGAGTTTCATTGGGTTCGCGTCGTATTATCGGCGATTTGTGGCTGACTTCGCTACGATTGCGAAACCATTGCATGCCTTGACGTCCAAGGGAGTCAGGTTTCATTGGGGGCCGGAGGAGGAGGCTGCTTTTCGCGCCCTCAGAAATGCTTTGGTGGGAGCTCCGCCGTTGAATTACCCGGATTTTTCACAACCCTTCTTGCTCGATACTGACGCAAGTAACACGGGCATCGGGGGTGTGCTGTCCCAGCTCATCGGGGGCGTAGAGCATGTGGTGGCTTACGGTAGTCGGGTACTGTCTCCAGCCGAACAGCGGTACTGCGTTACCCGTCGGGAATTATTGGCCATTGTTTATTTCATTCAGCAGTACCGCCCGTATCTGTACGGTCGGCGGTTCACCGTCCGTACAGATCATGCGGCCCTACAGTACGCCCTGCGGGTTCAACAACCATCGGGCCAGTTGTCTCGATGGTTGGAGATCCTCCAAGACTATGACTTTGTCACCACATATCGTAAGGGTGTCCGCCACACGAACGCTGACGCCCTGTCACGATTGCCACCCACTTCGGAGTGCGCGTGCCTGTTGGGTTCGGGGCGTTGTAGGCCCCCGAACGTCACCACCGATTCGGTCCTCGTGGCCGCTACCGATGCACCTTCGGCTTCGGGTCCTATCGAGCAAGAAGGGAGGGATTCGTTGCTGGGGTTGCCGGTCGCGGAATGGGGACGCCTCCAAATGGAGGACACCTCCCTCCTCGCTTTGCGCCGTCGCGTCGGGGGGGCTGGTCAGGGGGTGGAAAACGTTGACTCGTGGGGGTTGTTCCAGGGTCTTTTGATGCACTGGGATGGAAAAACCCGGCGCCAGCGGCTTGTGGTGCCTGCTGCTTTAAGGGGTAAGGTGGTATGGGCTGTTCATGAGCGGCTTCTGCACTTGGGGGTTCACAAGACCTTTGCCACGCTCCAGCTGGATTTCTTCTGGCCGGGCATGGAAAAGGACGTGGGGGATCTCTTGGGGTCATGCACGCAATGCGCGCAGAGGAAGCCGCCTGCGAGGGGGTCCAACCCTCCGCTGCAGTCCATAAAAGTTTCCCGGGTTAACGAGCTCGTCGCTCTGGACATACTTGGGCCATTTCCCGCTACGCCCAGGGGCAATAGGTATTTACTAACGGGGGTTGAATACTTCACGAGATGGCCTATGGCCTGGCCCCTGGCGAACCAGTCGGCAGCAGCCATCGCGGAGGCCTTTGTCCAGGGCTATGTCCTCGACAAAGGTGCTCCGGAACGGCTGCTTACTGACCAGGGTAGGAATTTTTCTGGTAAACTCCTACGTGAGGTGTGCGACCTCTTGGGTACGGAGAAGGTTCGGACCTCTCCGTATCACCCACAAACTGACGGGATGGTGGAACGGCTGCATCGGACCATCACGTCCATGCTGTCCCAGCAGGTGTCGGTATCCCAGACGGATTGGGACCTCCGCATAGCCGGTGTGTTGCAGGCCTACAGAATGGCTCCTCATGCGGCCACCGGATTTTCCCCTCTCTTTTTAATGTATGGGCGCGAAGTTAACCCCCCTGTGGCGACCCAGCTGAAGCTCTCGGCGCTCCCGGCGAAGTCTAATTTGTCCGAACACATTAAATTTAACATCGCTAAATTGTCTGAGGCGCGGGAAGCGGCCGTGCAAAATTCTGAACTCCGCCAGAAGGCGAACGAGAGGCTTCGGTTGGGGCGGGTGCAGGTGGTCAAATGGGAACCAGGGGACAGGGCGTGGTTGCACTGTCCTCAGGTGCCGCTGGCAACCTCGTCGAAATTGGTACGGCCGTGGCGGGGGCCAGTGGAGGTCGTGCAGGTTTTGCGGCCGCAATGTGTTCGCGTCAAATGGGGGAGGCGCCGGTGGTATGTGCACCCCTCAAGGTTAAAACCATTTGTCGCGCCGCCCCGTGGTTCACACACACACACGCATGGCCAAACGTGTGAGGGTGTCGCCGACTCCCCGTCGTCGCTGCACTCGCCTAACCTGACGCCAACTGTTCCGTCCCCAGGTGAAACAGGAGTGACGGGTCCACACCCACCAACCCCTCCCGGAGGGGTCGGGGGTCATTCGGCAGCGACGCCTGACTCTCTTGCACCCGGACCGTCAACAACCGTCACTGAGCGTGCCAGGACGGGCCCTTGTGACGGGCCCGCCGCGCGGACGCGCGCCAAAACGCGCAGACTATTGTGAGGTCGGCCGTTGGGGGGCCTTGCGGACAATGGGAGGGGTGGCGTCCGGAGTGTGTGTATATATGTTGGTTTTGGGGTATTTATTCGGGGGGGGTGCGTCGGGTTATTTTTTTTCTCTCTCTCTCTCTCTCTCTTCCTGTTGTTGTTCTTGTTAAGGTTCTCTTGTTCTTGTTAAAAATTACGCGAGGCACACACACGGGGTTTTTGTGAGGGATGCACCTTTATTCTGATTTTTTTTTGCAGCCAGGGACGGCTGCGAGCTGTACAGGGGGGGGTGATGTAGAGGTGTAATTGCGCATGGCTACGAATGTTGAGGTGTGATTATGCATGGCCACGGATGGCCAACAAACACAAGGGGCGGGGTTACGGCCGTACACAAGGGTGGCGCTAGCACCGACGTCCGCATGTGTATCCCCCACGGGCCCCCCCTCGGGGGCGAGTCCTATAAAAGGTGATGAGCTCGAGGGCTCGAGGTCGGGACTCAGCTTTAACCAGAGAAGACGGAAGACCAGCTAGTGTAGGCCCCAGAGCTCCCCTGGCTCGCTGTCCTTATAAGGGCCGACCAGGGCAAGCCGGTGGCGTGGCCCCGAGAGCCCAGACGAAGCTGGTCTGGTGACTCAGGGAGCCGGGATCCCAGCTTAACCAAGCTGGGACAGATAGCCTCCCCTAGTCCCGTAGTGGAGGAATTGGTATAGGTTAGAGGGGTTAGCTGTCGAGAATCCCTGTAGCCAAGTGACCTGTACAACTGTGTTGGTGTAATAAATAAGTGTGCCTCCGATCCTGTCGTCAAGCCTCCATATATACTTACTACACATGAATATGTACGTGCATCTCAGTGTGTAATTGTGCGCTTATTTTGAATAAATGGAAAAACGTTGTCCTCGATTTAAAGTGAATGCAGAGAAATTAGCATGTAACTTTAGAAAAGGAAGAGAGCGGCCTTCTCGACGAGGGAGTGAAACCCAATAGATAATATTATTTTACAGCGTTACAATGCATAGGTTGTAGTTCATAGGTTATAATATAATGTTTCACTATGATAGAGCTTAACATGTGAGAGTCTACAATATCAGAGTTGATCAAATGCGACGATCGAGGGCGTCAATCGGGTGAGTTTGGTCAGAGGCTTTAATCCAATGCATCATGCAATCACGGAACACCACCTACCTGCGTATATCACAGCAACAGAAGCAACTCCAGCAGCAACAACAGCAGCGACAACAACAGCAGCAACATCACATTCCAGGGCGACGCAGCTACTTCCGATTCAGTTGCCAAGCTGTTTGTAGTCGTTTCACATATTCCACCCTTGTTTCGCACGTCCATATTACATACATACATTTTACATGCATACATGTTACATACATACATATTACATTCATGCATATTACATACTCACGAGCATAGTGTGATTCTTAGAGGACCACGGTGTGAAGCTAAGAATTCGAATGAGATTCGAATATCACACTTCAATGTACGGTGTTCTAATCTGTAACACTAGTTTATGATGTAATTTTATAGCGTTATAATGTATCGCACATAGCTTATATTGTTAGAGTTCACAACATTATAGTTTACTATAACACTAGTTTGTAGTGTTATTTTAAAGCGTTGCAATGTATAACTCATAGTTTAAAGGTTATATTGTTAGAGTTTATAATGTTAGAGTATGCAATGTGAGTTTATAATTTGAGAGTTTGTGGACGTGCTATGATCATGTATGAGCTGGGATGAGCGACTATTGTTTACCTTGTTTAATCATAACTGTGTGTATGTTAGTGCTATCGGGGCTTAGTGAATACTGCTCATGAATGAACTCATACTTGTTTCGGATAGAAATTTGAAATCGTGTTGGTAGAACAAGTCGCCTGCCTTTTCTAGACGAATTGTTATCTTCAAGTGCGTCCGTAAATATACTGCTAATATATACAGCATAGGGAAGGCTGCCTTGTTGTGGAGATGTAGTTTGGGTAAGGCGCTGTGACCGGGTGATGACACGGATTCTGAAACAATGGAGTTAATCACTCGCTGCTTGGCCCCGTCGACAGCAGCGAAGGCTGTCATATACCGCCCCATTTACGAGTTGGCTCTATAAGGTATTGTCTTCTTCTAACAGACACTAACGTGCGTGTGTTGTCTGTTTTTAGGATTTATCCATTGATGTTGTTCTTGCTTTTGCGGCGTTTTTTTGTTGAGTTCTGTCATTTGTTTAAGAATTAGTCACGTGAGCGTGGTGTTTTGCTTAGTGGGAAATTCGCTTTTTCACAATTTGTGATTGTTATAATAATAATTGTAACGATTCATAATCTCATTAGTTAAAAATGGGTTTGTGCGTTTATTTATATAGGTATATTACGTCTTTTGTTATTCGATGACATCTAGCTGTGAAAATCGTGATTGTAATATAACCATGTTGTAATTGTAATAATTTGTATCCAATCCTTGCACGTACACTATACATACATATGAGCAGAGTGCGATTCTTATACGACCACACTGTGATTCTAATGCTTCTAATTATATTATAATACTTTACCTCCGTTTATATGGTTATAAATTAAATTGCTAGTTTATAATCGTTTAATGTTTAGTGTTATCGTTTATAGTATTATAGTTTACATGTTATAAAGTACAGTTTATCCACGACAAACTTCGGGATTAGGGACTGGTACGTTGATGAACGATTAACTACGGGGACCTTTCCCCTCAAGGAACACGTGTTAATCGGGTAGACAGCCAAGATGATGCCTGGTTAAGGGCACACTTGTGTGACGGAGATCCTCCACCTGAAATTATGTTAACATGTTTTTGCTAGGAACATTATAAAATAAAGAACGGACAAACATTTGTTAAAAATACGTTTTTATTCATCTGCAATCATTTTTACGTCAAAACTCGAAGGGAATATGTATAAAGTCCTATGTTCACACATTTCCAGTACAATGCAAACCATTTCCGTTCCAGGAATACCAAAACGTTAAAGTTTCATTGATTTCCCTATTAATTCACCACATTTGTTCACTGTGAGTCCATGTTGAAGTCAAGGCCATATATCCAACGAACGCGTCATCAATGTACATCCTGATATCGGATATCTAAAGTCGATTAAAACCAATCAAAAAAGCTATATACTTGACAAAAATCGTTTAAAATGTTGAGTAAAGATGTTCCTACAGACGCATTCCAACTTTAGCTCAACAGGAACACATAATGACAACAATTGAACCCACTCACAACCAGTGCTCATCACACCACTTCGACAAGTAATCCCATAACATTACAAACCACCACTGTGCACGTCATTAAACTCACAAAAACTGTAAAACTAAAATTACACATAAAATTACTCGATACGGCTTAATAGGTATAACCACATGACAATATTTTTTCAGTCACCCCGAGCTCTCTGGTTGATCCTCGAGCCACTCCATTACATCCAACCATCTGTCGGGATCCAACTGCATGGGATCGAAGGTGGAAAATTCTTCAGGACTCATTGCAGCACCTTGAACTTCAGCTTTTGATTTCAGTTTCCTATCATAGTGGACCTTTTGATGCGTGTTAAGATTTGACGACTGTGAAAATGCCTTCCCACACACAGGGCACAGGAATGGCTTATCGCCCGTGTGTGCTCTCTGATGAATCTGAAGATGTGATGACTGTGCAAATGCCTTCCCACACACAGAGCACAAGAATGGCTTCACGCCCGTGTGTGTTCTCTGGTGACTATGAAGATGTGATGACTGTGCAAATGTCTTCCCACACACAAGGCACAGGAATGGCTTCTCGCCCGTGTGTGTTCTCTGATGACTCTGAAGATGTGATGAGTTTGCAAATTTCTTCCCACACACAGGGCACAGGAATGGCTTCTCGCCCGTGTGTGTTCTCTGATGAATCTGAAGATGTGATGACCTTGCAAATGTCTTCCCACACACAGGGCACAGGAATGGCTTCTCGCCCGTGTGTGTTCTCTGGTGACTCTGAAGATGTGATGGCCGTGAAAATGACTTCCCACACACAGAGCAATTGAATTGCTTCTTGCCTCCGTGTGCGTGGGGCTGTGGAGAGCGTATCTGCTCCATGTGAGCGTAGTAACAGCAGCGGTGTTATCAAGTCAGAAGTACGCTATCGGTCGCAAGGATGTTTAGCGTTGAGTTTGGGATTTTGTTAACTGCTAAAACAAGAACGACACTCGCGTCTAACCGAGACGCAAAAAAATCCTGCAAATTTGACGACGAAAACGTTTAAGAGTTTATCCGCGAAAATAGACACGGTATATCGATGTCTGAAACCCGTCTGAAGATGTCGCCACGAACTCTCCCGACCCAAAGTCGCCTAAATGTCAACTCAGCAATTGTGCTCGCCAGGCTGCGTTGTCTCGCGGTTGAAGGGCGATCAGCAGAGCGACGAGTCGAGCGTCCAACCTCATCAAGTTCCCTCTCGAAATGGCATTGAGCTCTGCTTCTGAGCCGCCTTATAACTCCCCCCCTAGGATCCAATCCTTTGTCTTTCAGGATATTTGCATTCGATTGTTAATTTTGGAAGGTACAATCCGCATGTCTATTAACATACCGAAGAGTAATGTGTCCATTGTGCTTCATGCATGAATATGTACGTGCATCTCAGTGTGTAATTGTTCGCTTATTTTGAATAAATGGAAAAACGTTGTCCTCGATTTAAAGTGAATGCAGAGAAATTAGCATGTAACTTTAGAAAAGGAAGAGAGCGGCCTTCTCGACGAGGGAGTGAAACCCAATAGATAATATTCTTTTACAGCGTTACAATGCATAGGTTGTAGTTCATAGGTTATAATATAATGTTTCACTATGATAGAGCTTAACATGTGAGAGTCTACAATATCAGAGTTGATCAAATGCGACGATCAAGGGCGTCAATCGGGTGAGTTTGGTCAGAGGCTTTAATCAAATGCATCATGCAATCACGGAACACCACCTCCCTGCGTATATCACAGCAACAGAAGCAACTCCAGCAGCAACAACAGCAGCGACAACAACAGCAGCAACATCACATTCCAGGGCGACGCAGCTACTTCCGATTCAGTTGCCAAGCTGTTTGTAGTCGTTTCACATATTCCACCCTTGTTTCGCACGTCCATATTACATACATACATTTTACATGCATACATGTTACATACATACATATTACATTCATGCATATTACATACTCACGAGCATAGTGTGATTCTTAGAGGACCACGGTGTGAAGCTAAGAATTCGAATGAGATTCGAATATCACACTTCAATGTACGGTGTTCTAATCTGTAACACTAGTTTATGATGTAATTTTATAGCGTTATAATGTATCGCACATAGCTTATATTGTTAGAGTTCACAACATTATAGTTTACTATAACACTAGTTTGTAGTGTTATTTTAAAGCGTTGCAATGTATAGCTCATAGTTTAAAGGTTATATTGTTAGAGTTTATAATGTTAGAGTATGCAATGTGAGTTTATAATTTGAGAGTTTGTGGACGTGCTATGATCATGTATGAGCTGGGATGAGCGACTATTGTTTACCTTGTTTAATCATAACTGTGTGTATGTTAGTGCTATCGGGGCTTAGTGAATACTGCTCATGAATGAACTCATACTTGTTTCGGATAGAAATTTGAAATCGTGTTGGTAGAACAAGTCGCCTGCCTTTTCTAGACGAATTGTTATCTTCAAGTGCGTCCGTAAATATACTGCTAATATATACAGCATAGGGAAGGCTGCCTTGTTGTGGAGATGTAGTTTGGGTAAGGCGCTGTGACCGGGTGATGACACGGATTCTGAAACAATGGAGTTAATCACTCGCTGCTTGGCCCCGTCGACAGCAGCGAAGGCTGTCATATACCGCCCCATTTACGAGTTGGCTCTATAAGGTATTGTCTTCTTCTAACAGACACTAACGTGCGTGTGTTGTCTGTTTTTATGATTTATCCATTGATGTTGTTCTTGCTTTTGCGGCGTTTTTTTGTTGAGTTCTGTCATTTGTTTAAGAATTAGTCACGTGAGCGTGGTGTTTTGCTTAGTGGGAAATTCGCTTTTTCACAATTTGTGATTGTTATAATAATAATTGTAACGATCCATAATCTCATTAGTTAAACATGGGTTTGTGCGTTTATTTATATAGGTATATTACGTCTTTTGTTATTCGATGACATCTAGCTGTGAAAATCGTGATTGTAATATAACCATGTTGTAATTGTAATAATTTGTATCCAATCCTTGCACGTACACTATACATACATATGAGCAGAGTGCGATTCTTATACGACCACACTGTGATTCTAATGCTTCTAATTATATTATAATACTTTACCTCCGTTTATATGGTTATAAATTAAATTGCTAGTTTATAATCGTTTAATGTTTAGTGTTATCGTTTATAGTATTATAGTTTACATGTTATAAAGTACAGTTTATCCACGACAAACTTCGGGATTAGGGACTGGTACGTTGATGAACGATTAACTACGGGGACCTTTCCCCTCAAGGAACACGTGTTAATCGCGTAGACAGCCAAGATGATGCCTGGTTAAGGGCACACTTGTGTGACGGAGATCCTCCACCTGAAATTATGTTAACATGTTTTTGCTAGGAACATTATAAAATAAAGAATGGACAAACATTTGTTAAAAATACGTTTTTATTCATCTGCAATCATTTTTACATCAAAACTCGAAGGGAATATGTATAAAGTCCTATGTTCACACATTTCCAGTACAATGCAAACCATTTCCGTTCCAGGAATACCAAAACGTTAAAGTTTCATTGATTTCCCTATTAATTCACCACATTTGTTCACTGTGAGTCCATGTTGAAGTCAAGGCCATATATCCAACGAACGCGTCATCAATGTACATCCTGATATCGGATATCTAAAGTCGATTAAAACCAATCAAAAAAGCTATATACTTGACAAAAATCGTTTAAAATGTTGAGTAAAGATGTTCCTACAGACGCATTCCAACTTTAGCTCAACAGGAACACATAATGACAACAATTGAACCCACTCACAACCAGTGCTCATCACACCACTTCGGCAAGTAATCCCATAACATTACAAACCACCACTGTGCACGTCATTAAACTCACAAAAACTGTAAAACTAAAATTACACGTAAAATTACTCGATACGGCTTAATAGGTATAACCACATGACAATATTTTTTCAGTCACCCCGAGCTCTCTGGTTGATCCTCGAGCCACTCCATTACATCCAACCATCTGTCGGGATCCAACTGCATGGGATCGAAGGTGGAAAATTCTTCAGGACTCATTGCAGCACCTTGAACTTCAGCTTTTGATTTCAGTTTCCTATCGTAGTGGACCTTTTGATGCGTGTTAAGATTTGACGACTGTGAAAATGCCTTCCCACACACAGGGCACAGGAATGGCTTATCGCCCGTGTGTGCTCTCTGATGAATCTGAAGATGTGATGACTGTGCAAATGCCTTCCCACACACAGAGCACAAGAATGGCTTCACGCCCGTGTGTGTTCTCTGGTGACTATGAAGATGTGATGACTGTGCAAATGTCTTCCCACACACAAGGCACAGGAATGGCTTCTCGCCCGTGTGTGTTCTCTGATGACTCTGAAGATGTGATGAGTTTGCAAATTTCTTCCCACACACAGGGCACAGGAATGGCTTCTCGCCCGTGTGTGTTCTCTGATGAATCTGAAGATGTGATGACCTTGCAAATGTCTTCCCACACACAGGGCACAGGAATGGCTTCTCGCCCGTGTGTGTTCTCTGGTGACTATGAAGATGTGATGGCCGTGAAAATGACTTCCCACACACAGAGCAATTGAATTGCTTCTTGCCTCCGTGTGCGTGGGGCTGTGGAGAGCTTATCTGCTCCATGTGAGCGTAGTAACAGCAGCGGTGTTATCAAGTCAGAAGTACGCTATCGGTCGCAAGGATGTTTAGCGTTGAGTTTGGGATTTTGTTAACTGCTAAAACAAGAACGACACTCGCGTCTAACCGAGACGCAAAAAAATCCCGTAAATTTGACGACGAAAACGTTTAAGAGTTTATCCGCGAAAATAGACACTTACTTGGAGATTCACGGTATATCGATGTCTGAAACCCGTCTGAAGATGTCGCCACGAACTCTCCCGACCCAAAGTCGCCTAAATGTCAACTCAGCAATTGTGCTCGCCAGGCTGCGTTGTCTCGCGGTTGAAGGGCGATCAGCAGAGCGACGAGTCGAGCGTCCAACCTCATCAAGTTCCCTCTCGAAATGGCATTGAGCTCTGCTTCTGAGCCGCCTTATAACTCCCCCCCTAGGATCCAATCCTTTGTCTTTCAGGATATTTGCATTCGATTGTTAATTTTGGAAGGTACAATCCGCATGTCTATTAACATACCGAAGGGTAATGTGTCCATTGTGCTTCATGCATGAATATGTACGTGCATCTCAGTGTGTAATTGTGCGCTTATTTTGAATAAATGGAAAAACGTTGTCCTCGATTTAAAGTGAATGCAGAGAAATTAGCATGTAACTTTAGAAAAGGAAGAGAGCGGCCTTCTCGACGAGGGAGTGAAACCCAATAGATAATATTCTTTTACAGCGTTACAATGCATAGGTTGTAGTTCATAGGTTATAATATAATGTTTCACTATGATAGAGCTTAACATGTGAGAGTCTACAATATCAGAGTTGATCAAATGCGACGATCAAGGGCGTCAATCGGGTGAGTTTGGTCAGAGGCTTTAATCAAATGCATCATGCAATCACGGAACACCACCTACCTGCGTATATCACAGCAACAGAAGCAACTCCAGCAGCAACAACAGCAGCGACAACAACAGCAGCAACATCACATTCCAGGGCGACGCAGCTACTTCCGATTCAGTTGCCAAGCTGTTTGTAGTCGTTTCACATATTCCACCCTTGTTTCGCACGTCCATATTACATACATACATTTTACATGCATACATGTTACATACATACATATTACATTCATGCATATTACATACTCACGAGCATAGTGTGATTCTTAGAGGACCACGGTGTGAAGCTAAGAATTCGAATGAGATTCGAATATCACACTTCAATGTACGGTGTTCTAATCTGTAACACTAGTTTATGATGTAATTTTATAGCGTTATAATGTATCGCACATAGCTTATATTGTTAGAGTTCACAACATTATAGTTTACTATAACACTAGTTTGTAGTGTTATTTTAAAGCGTTGCAATGTATAGCTCATAGTTTAAAGGTTATATTGTTAGAGTTTATAATGTTAGAGTATGCAATGTGAGTTTATAATTTGAGAGTTTGTGGACGTGCTATGATCATGTATGAGCTGGGATGAGCGACTATTGTTTACCTTGTTTAATCATAACTGTGTGTATGTTAGTGCTATCGGGGCTTAGTGAATACTGCTCATGAATGAACTCATACTTGTTTCGGATAGAAATTTGAAATCGTGTTGGTAGAACAAGTCGCCTGCCTTTTCTAGACGAATTGTTATCTTCAAGTGCGTCCGTAAATATACTGCTAATATATACAGCATAGGGAAGGCTGCCTTGTTGTGGAGATGTAGTTTGGGTAAGGCGCTGTGACCGGGTGATGACACGGATTCTGAAACAATGGAGTTAATCACTCGCTGCTTGGCCCCGTCGACAGCAGCGAAGGCTGTCATATACCGCCCCATTTACGAGTTGGCTCTATAAGGTATTGTCTTCTTCTAACAGACACTAACGTGCGTGTGTTGTCTGTTTTTAGGATTTATCCATTGATGTTGTTCTTGCTTTTGCGGCGTTTTTTTGTTGAGTTCTGTCATTTGTTTAAGAATTAGTCACGTGAGCGTGGTGTTTTGCTTAGTGGGAAATTCGCTTTTTCACAATTTGTGATTGTTATAATAATAATTGTAACGATTCATAATCTCATTAGTTAAAAATGGGATTGTGCGTTTATTTATATAGGTATATTACGTCTTTTGTTATTCGATGACATCTAGCTGTGAAAATCGTGATTGTAATATAACCATGTTGTAATTGTAATAATTTGTATCCAATCCTTGCACGTACACTATACATACATATGAGCAGAGTGCGATTCTTATACGACCACACTGTGATTCTAATGCTTCTAATTATATTATAATACCTTACCTCCGTTTATATGGTTATAAATTAAATTGCTAGTTTATAATCGTTTAATGTTTAGTGTTATCGTTTATAGTATTATAGTTTACATGTTATAAAGTACAGTTTATCCACGACAAACTTCGGGATTAGGGACTGGTACGTTGATGAACGATTAACTACGGGGACCTTTCCCCTCAAGGAACACGTGTTAATCGGGTAGACAGCCAAGATGATGCCTGGTTAAGGGCACACTTGTGTGACGGAGATCCTCCACCTGAAATTATGTTAACATGTTTTTGCTAGGAACATTATAAAATAAAGAACGGACAAACATTTGTTAAAAATACGTTTTTATTCATCTGCAATCATTTTTACGTCAAAACTCGAAGGGAATATGTATAAAGTCCTATGTTCACACATTTCCAGTACAATGCAAACCATTTCCGTTCCAGGAATACCAAAACGTTAAAGTTTCATTGATTTCCCTATTTATTCACCACATTTGTTCACTGTGAGTCCATGTTGAAGTCAAGGCCATATATCCAACGAACGCGTCATCAATGTACATCCTGATATCGGATATCTAAAGTCGATTAAAACCAATCAAAAAAGCTATATACTTGACAAAAATCGTTTAAAATGTTGAGTAAAGATGTTCCTACAGACGCATTCCAACTTTAGCTCAACAGGAACACATAATGACAACAATTGAACCCACTCACAACCAGTGCTCATCACACCACTTCGGCAAGTAATCCCATAACATTACAAACCACCACTGTGCACGTCATTAAACTCACAAAAACTGTAAAACTAAAATTACACATAAAATTACTCGATACGGCTTAATAGGTATAACCACATGACAATATTTTTTCAGTCACCCCGAGCTCTCTGGTTGATCCTCGAGCCACTCCATTACATCCAACCATCTGTCGGGATCCAACTGCATGGGATCGAAGGTGGAAAATTATTCAGGACTCATTGCAGCACCTTGAACTTCAGCTTTTGATTTCAGTTTCCTATCATAGTGGACCTTTTGATGCGTGTTAAGATTTGACGACTGTGAAAATGCCTTCCCACACACAGGGCACAGGAATGGCTTATCGCCCGTGTGTGCTCTCTGATGAATCTGAAGATGTGATGACTGTGCAAATGCCTTCCCACACACAGAGCACAAGAATGGCTTCACGCCCGTGTGTGTTCTCTGGTGACTATGAAGATGTGATGACTGTGCAAATGTCTTCCCACACACAAGGCACAGGAATGGCTTCTCGCCCGTGTGTGTTCTCTGATGACTCTGAAGATGTGATGAGTTTGCAAATTTCTTCCCACACACAGGGCACAGGAATGGCTTCTCGCCCGTGTGTGTTCTCTGATGAATCTGAAGATGTGATGACCTTGCAAATGTCTTCCCACACACAGGGCACAGGAATGGCTTCTCGCCCGTGTGTGTTCTCTGGTGACTATGAAGATGTGATGGCCGTGAAAATGACTTCCCACACACAGAGCAATTGAATTGCTTCTTGCCTCCGTGTGCGTGGGGCTGTGGAGAGCTTATCTGCTCCATGTGAGCGTAGTAACAGCAGCGGTGTTATCAAGTCAGAAGTACGCTATCGGTCGCAAGGATGTTTAGCGTTGAGTTTGGGATTTTGTTAACTGCTAAAACAAGAACGACACTCGCGTCTAACCGAGACGCAAAAAAATCCCGTAAATTTGACGACGAAAACGTTTAAGAGTTTATCCGCGAAAATAGACACTTACTTGGAGATTCACGGTATATCGATGTCTGAAACCCGTCTGAAGATGTCGCCACGAACTCTCCCGACCCAAAGTCGCCTAAATGTCAACTCAGCAATTGTGCTCGCCAGGCTGCGTTGTCTCGCGGTTGAAGGGCGATCCGCAGAGCGACGAGTCGAGCGTCCAACCTCATCAAGTTCCCTCTCGAAATGGCATTGAGCTCTGCTTCTGAGCCGCCTTATAACTCCCCCCCTAGGATCCAATCCTTTGTCTTTAAGGATATTTGCATTCGATTGTTAATTTTGGAAGGTACAATCCGCATGTCTATTAACATACCGAAGAGTAATGTGTCCATTGTGCTTCATGCATGAATATGTACGTGCATCTCAGTGTGTAATTGTGCGCTTATTTTGAATAAATGGAAAAACGTTGTCCTCGATTTAAAGTGAATGCAGAGAAATTAGCATGTAACTTTAGAAAAGGAAGAGAGCGGCCTTCTCGACGAGGGAGTGAAACCCAATAGATAATATTCTTTTACAGCGTTACAATGCATAGGTTGTAGTTCATAGGTTATAATATAATGTTTCATTATGATAGAGCTTAACATGTGAGAGTCTACAATATCAGAGTTGATCAAATGCGACGATCAAGGGCGTCAATCGGGTGAGTTTGGTCAGAGGCTTTAATCAAATGCATCATGCAATCACGGAACACCACCTCCCTGCGTATATCACAGCAACAGAAGCAACTCCAGCAGCAACAACAGCAGCGACAACAACAGCAGCAACATCACATTCCAGGGCGACGCAGCTACTTCCGATTCAGTTGCCAAGCTGTTTGTAGTCGTTTCACATATTCCACCCTTGTTTCGCACGTCCATATTACATACATACATTTTACATGCATACATGTTACATACATACATATTACATTCATGCATATTACATACTCACGAGCATAGTGTGATTCTTAGAGGACCACGGTGTGAAGCTAAGAATTCGAATGAGATTCGAATATCACACTTCAATGTACGGTGTTCTAATCTGTAACACTAGTTTATGATGTAATTTTATAGCGTTATAATGTATCGCACATAGTTTATATTGTTAGAGTTCACAACATTATAGTTTACTATAACACTAGTTTGTAGTGTTATTTTAAAGCGTTGCAATGTATAGCTCATAGTTTAAAGGTTATATTGTTAGAGTTTATAATGTTAGAGTATGCAATGTGAGTTTATAATTTGAGAGTTTGTGGACGTGCTATGATCATGTATGAGCTGGGATGAGCGACTATTGTTTACCTTGTTTAATCATAACTGTGTGTATGTTAGTGCTATCGGGGCTTAGTGAATACTGCTCATGAATGAACTCATACTTGTTTCGGATAGAAATTTGAAATCGTGTTGGTAGAACAAGTCGCCTGCCTTTTCTAGACGAATTGTTATCTTCAAGTGCGTCCGTAAATATACTGCTAATATATACAGCATAGGGAAGGCTGCCTTGTTGTGGAGATGTAGTTTGGGTAAGGCGCTGTGACCGGGTGATGACACGGATTCTGAAACAATGGAGTTAATCACTCGCTGCTTGGCCCCGTCGACAGCAGCGAAGGCTGTCATATACCGCCCCATTTACGAGTTGGCTCTATAAGGTATTGTCTTCTTCTAACAGACACTAACGTGCGTGTGTTGTCTGTTTTTAGGATTTATCCATTGATGTTGTTCTTGCTTTTGCGGCGTTTTTTTGTTGAGTTCTGTCATTTGTTTAAGAATTAGTCACGTGAGCGTGGTGTTTTGCTTAGTGGGAAATTCGCTTTTTCACAATTTGTGATTGTTATAATAATAATTGTAACGATTCATAATCTCATTAGTTAAAAATGGGTTTGTGCGTTTATTTATATAGGTATATTACGTCTTTTGTTATTCGATGACATCTAGCTGTGAAAATCGTGATTGTAATATAACCATGTTGTAATTGTAATAATTTGTATCCAATCCTTGCACGTACACTATACATACATATGAGCAGAGTGCGATTCTTATACGACCACACTGTGATTCTAATGCTTCTAATTATATTATAATACTTTACCTCCGTTTATATGGTTATAAATTAAATTGCTAGTTTATAATCGTTTAATGTTTAGTGTTATCGTTTATAGTATTACAGTTTACATGTTATAGAGTACAGTTTATCCACGACAAACTTCGGGATTAGGGACTGGTACGTTGATGAACGATTAACTACGGGGACCTTTCCCCTCAAGGAACACGTGTTAATCGGGTAGACAGCCAAGATGATGCCTGGTTAAGGGCACACTTGTGTGACGGAGATCCTCCACCTGAAATTATGTTAACATGTTTTTGCTAGGAACATTATAAAATAAAGAACGGACAAACATTTGTTAAAAATACGTTTTTATTCATCTGCAATCATTTTTACGTCAAAACTCGAAGGGAATATGTATAAAGTCCTATGTTCACACATTTCCAGTACAATGCAAACCATTTCCGTTCCAGGAATACCAAAACGTTAAAGTTTCATTGATTTCCCTATTAATTCACCACATTTGTTCACTGTGAGTCCATGTTGAAGTCAAGGCCATATATCCAACGAACGCGTCATCAATGTACATCCTGATATCGGATATCTAAAGTCGATTAAAACCAATCAAAAAAGCTATATACTTGACAAAAATCGTTTAAAATGTTGAGTAAAGATGTTCCTACAGACGCATTCCAACTTTAGCTCAACAGGAACACATAATGACAACAATTGAACCCACTCACAACCAGTGCTCATCACACCACTTCGGCAAGTAATCCCATAACATTACAAACCACCACTGTGCACGTCATTAAACTCACAAAAACTGTAAAACTAAAATTACACATAAAATTACTCGATACGGCTTAATAGGTATAACCACATGACAATATTTTTTCAGTCACCCCGAGCTCTCTGGTTGACTCTCGAGCCACTCCATTACATCCAGCCATCTCTCGGGATCCAACTGCATGGGATCGAAGGTGGAAACTTCTTCAGGACTCATTGCAGAACCTTGAATTTCAGCTTTTGATTTCAGTTTCCTATCATTGTGGACCTTCTGATGCCTGTTCATGTTTGATGACCGTGCAAATGCCTCCCCACACACAGGGCACAGGAATGGCTTCTCGCCCGTGTGTGTTCTCTGGTGACGCTGAAGATGTGATGAGTGTGCAAATGTCTTCCCACACACAGGGCACAGGAATGGCTTCTCGCCGGTGTGTATTCTCTGGTGACTCTGAAGATGTGATGAGTGTGCAAATGTCTTCCCACACACAGGGCACAGGAATGGCCTCTCGCCCGTGTGTGTTCTCTGGTGACTTTGAAGAGTTGATGGCCTTGAAAATGCCTTCCCACACACAGAGCAATTGAATTGCTTCTTGCCTCCGTGTGCGTGGGGCTGTGGAGAGCGTCTCTGCTCCATGTGAGCGTAGTAACAGCAGCGGTGTTATCGAGTCAAAAGTACGCTATCGGCCGCAAGGATGTTTAGCGTTGAGTTTTGGATTTTGCTAACTGCTAAAACAAGAACGACACTCGCGTCTAACCGAGGCACAAAAAAATCCCACTAATTTGACGACGAACACGTTTAAGAGTTTATCCGCTAAAATAGACACTTACTTGGAGATTCACGGTATTTCGATGTCTGGAACCCGTCTGAAGATGTCGCCACGAACTCTCCCGACACAAAGTCGCCTAAATGTCGACACAGCAATTGTGCTCGCCAGGCTGCGTTGTCTCGCGGTTGAAGGGCGATCAGCAGAGCGACGAGTCGAGCGTCCAACCTCATCAAGTTTCCTCTCGAAATGGCATTGAGCTCTGCTTCTGAGCCGCCTTATAACTCCCCCCCCTAGGATCCAATCCTTTGTCTTTCAGGATATTTGCATTCGATTGTTAATTTTGGAAGGCACAATCCGCATGTCTATTAACATACCGAAGAGTAATGTGCCCATTGTGCTTCATGCATGAATATGTAAGTGCATCTCAGTGTGTAATTGTGCGCTTATTTTGAATTAATGGAAAAAAATTGTCCTCGATTTAAAGTGAATGCAGAGAAATTAGCATGTAACTTTAGAAAAGGAAGAGAACGGCCTTCTCGACGAGGGAGTGAAACCCAATGGGTAATATTCTTTTACAGCGTTACAATGGATAGGTTGTAGTTCATAGGTTATAATATTATGTTTCACTATGGTAGAGCTTAACATGTGAGAGTATAAAATATCAGAGTTGATCAAATGCGACGATCAAGGGCGTCAATCGGGTGAGTTTGATCAGAGGCTTTAATCAAAGGCGTCATCCCATCACGGAACACCACCTCCCTGCGTATATCACAGCAACAGAAGCAACTACAGCAGCAACAACAGCAGCGACAACAACAGCAGCAACATCACATTTCGAGGGCGACGCAGCTACTTCCGATTCTGCTGCCCAGCTGTTTGTAGTCAGGACCTGCTCTCGCAGGACCCCACACGTCTTTGGAAATGTTTGCGATGATCATGGCTGAGCTGAGAATTAAGTCACTCAAGATTAATTATAGATTTGAAGCTTTCGTGACTGCAAGGATTCATATTCTTAGGTTTTTTCGTCGTGATTGTTTTTTATTTTACTTTTATTAATTTTAAATTTTTACCCACGTGACTTTACCGAAAAAACCTAAGAATACACTCAAGATTACTTTGTTTAACCATAACTTTAGGTAGGTTAGTGTCATCGGGCCTCTGTGAATACTACTCATGAATGAAATCACACTCCTGTATGACCGACATTGTACTAATTTTGGTTGATCGAGTAGAACAAGGCACGTGCCATGGTCCAGACGAATTCTTATTAACAACAGTGTCATTAAATATGATGCTAAAATAAATGTTGACACTGGAATAAACGTGCACCTCTTAACCCCTCCCTCGCATTTACGACTAACAATTTGCATTTGCACATAACACACATTCAAGTACAGTAATTTGCTAATACGACCAAATTGTCATTCTAAAATTTGAATGCGATTCTTACCCTCGACCCCCCACAGTTCACATATCCGACCGTCGGTTCGATTGAACGGACAATTAACCATGTGTAGAGTTCCATTATAATACTTCTAATGAAATTAAAATACCGTACCTCCGTTTATGGTGGTATAAAACCAGTTGGTAGGTTTTTTTTGTCGTTTAATGTTTAGTGTTATTGTTTATAGTGTTATCAGTTTACATGTTTTAAGTACAGGTGATTCCCGGTGTACTTCGGTATTCTGGACCTGAACGTTGCGAAACGAATCATAACGAGGACATTTCCCCACCAGAGCGCAATCCGCTAATGAAACGAACTCGGGGCGGCGGGAACACGTGCTTCCATGGGCAGTGGGGGACAGGGCATGGTTGTATTGCCTACAGGTGCCACCGGGTATGTCCCCCAAGTTGCTCTGCCCATGGCGGTAGAGGTCATAGAGGTGGGTGATGTAAAGACAGTGCATCAACTAAGGGACAAGTGGTGACAACAAGATAGAGAGAGAGTTCGATAAGGGAAGGCGAGACCAAGTGTGGGCGGAGGTTTACACAACACGGTCCTTAAATATATTGCTAAAATAACGTCTACACCCGATTCAACATGCAGCTCCACCTCGGCCATGAGCAACCCACAGCACGCGCAGAGGGAGGAGACCACGAGGGAGACGGCCTCAACTTGAAGAGAAAGTTGACAAACTCACGGATGCCATCACCCAGCTGCTGCAACGCCTGTCGGATGAGACGCTGCGTCCCGCGGCACCAACCAGGCGAGTAAAGAAAGAGCAGAGCCCGAATCGGAGGCCCCTACCCGAACATCAGCAGCAGTCGATAGCGTGATTCTAATAGGACCACGTTGTTATTATCATAATTTTAATGCGATTCTAAAATGCGCACCTCCTAGGTTGCATTTACGACTCCCGATGTGCATCTACATATAACATACATTCTAGCTCAGTGTAATTCTAATACCACCATAGTGTTATTCTAATCATTTTAATCCGACCCTAATCCTGCATCCCTCCAGTTCGCATATCCGACCCCCAGGTTCGCATGTCCAACGGACATACAGTACATATTACATACATACGAGCACAGTTCGCTTGCACGTACCCTATTATACATACATATGCGCAGAGTGTGATTCGAATACGATCACATTGTGATTATAATACTTCTAATGATATTCTAATATTGATTTGAAGCTTACGTGACTGCAGGAATTAATACTCGTTGGTTCTTTCGATAAAGTCACGTAAGTAGAAATAAAACAAAGTAAATCACGTTTCGGACTAAACACAAGCGCCCGTTTTCAGGTGAGAATCGCGATATCCGCGATGTCTGCTGCGAGCAGCACGATGTCTGCTGCAGACATCGTTTCGGGCGCTTGTGTTGCGTCCGAAACGTCGTTATTTATTTTGTTTTATTTATACCTACGTGACTTTACCGAAAGAACCAAAGAGTATAGATATTCTAATACTGTCCCTCCGTTTACGGTCTTATAAATTATATAAAAAACTAGTTTATATTCGTTTAATGTTTAATGTTATCTTTAAAGCGTTACAGTTTACATGTTTTAGAGTACAAGTGATCTCCAGTATACTTCGGAATTAGGGAAAGGAACGTTGCTAAACTATTTATAACGGGGACCTCTCCCCTCTAGGAACACAAGTTGATGGTGGAGACAGCCAAGACGTTGCCGGTTAAGGTCAGACTTGTGTTGCTGCAGTTGCTGCTGCTGCAGTTGCTGCTGCTGCTGCAGTTGATGCTGCTGCAGTTGCTGCTGCAGTTGCTGCTGCTGCAGTTTCTGCTGCTGCTGCAGTTTCTGCTGCTGCTGCAGTTGCTGCTGCTGTTGCTGTTGTTGCTGCTTAATATGCTTCAGTTCCAGTGGTGTTCCGTTTGGAATAACAAACTTTGATCAAATATTTTTTATCAAACAAGTCATTACAATTGTAACGATTCATAATTTCACCGGCTAATATTGGGTTTGTGCGATTATTTAATATATTCATACTGAATATTGTTATTTGATTCCATTGAGATGGAACATTCATCCCGCAGTGGATAGCTTGATCCTAATACCACCAAAGTGTTATTCAAGTAATTTTAATCTCATCCTGATCCTGCACCTTCCGTTTCACATATCACACCCTTGGTTCGCACGTCCATATTACATACATGTTACATACATGCATGTACCATGTTACATATATACATGTTACATGCATACATATTACATGCACATATACTTACTACAAACAGATATGTTCCATACATACATGTTACATACTTACGACCGTAGTGTGATTCGAAGAGGACCACGGAGTGATTCGAATTATTCGAAAGCGATTCGAAACTCACACTTCAAGGTAGGTTGTTCTAATCTATAACACTAGTTAATAATGTTATTGTATAGCGTTATAATGTATAGCTCATAGGTTATATTGTTAGAGTTCACAAATTTAGAGTTTACTAACAATACTAGTTTACAGTAATTTTTAGATTACTCTATATGTGAATGTTTTTAAGTTACCATTGTTGAATTTCATAATGTTAAAGTTCACAGTGTGAGAATTTACAATGTCAGAGTTTACAATGTGAGAGTATATCCAAGACGTCGATCGATGGCGTTGGTCTGGTAGGTTCGATCATAGTTTTTGATCAAAGACGTTATCCCATAACGGGACACCAACATGCTGCCGATATAGCAGTAACAGAAGCAACTACAGCAGCTACGAAACCATTCGATGGCAAAGCAGCGACTTCTTCAATCTGAGAGTTTGTGGCCATGCCCTGTTCTCGTGGGACCCGACACGGATTTGGAAATAATTGCTATGATCATGTCTGAGCTGAGATGAGCGACTAATGTTTACTTTGTTTAATCATAACTGTGCGTAGGTTAGTGCCATCGGTGCTTAGTGAATACTACTCATGAATGAACTCATTCTTCTTTCGGATAGAAATTTGAAATCGTTTTGGTAGAACAATTCGCTTTCCTTTTCGAGACGAATTGTTATCTTCAAGTGCGCCCGTAAATATACTGCTAAAATACACAGCATAGGGAAGGCAGCCTTGTTCGGGAGATGTAGTTTGGCTAAGTCGCTGTGGCCGGGTGATGACACGGATTCTGAAACAATGGAGTTAAACACTCGCTGCTTGGCCCCGTCGACAGCAGCGAAGGCTGTCATATACCGCCCCATTGACGAGTTGGCTGTATGATGTGTATAGTTGAAGGTGCTAGGTGTTGTCTTCTTCTAACAGCCACTAACGTGCGTGTGTTGTCTGTTTTAGGATTTGCCCATTGATGTAGTTATTTTTA